GCAGTCAATGTTGAGTAAGCATTAACTTACACTGCTGTTTTAGCCCTGCACACGGCAGAGCGCTCTCACACAAGCACAAACATATTTAATGTGAGAAGACACCCTACTTTTGCCTCGGCCATTTCTTGGGCCTATTTCGAAACCAAGCACCCCGTCGAGTGGCCCCTTGTTCCCCACTCCCTCTTCCCTGCAGGGTTAAAGCTCTAAGCCCACATTCTCAGAGGAGCTGGCTTCATTTCCCTCTCCACTCAGAGTCCCTCATCAGGGGTCTCTCCATTCTCTGAGTACATAAAGCTCATGCATCTATCTAGTCCCAATCTCCTGGGAGGCTGAGACAGGATCTCGTGTTCAAGGCCTGCTTGGGCAACTTAGCTAGCGCCTGTCTCACGCTGAAAAAGATACTAAAAGAGGGGCTGAGGTATAGAGTATACGTAGTATAGAGGCAGAGCATTTCCAGCATCTGCAGAGCCCCGGATTTGAGAACCAGTGTGGCGAAAACAGACTGACGCATCTTAGTTAGATTCAGGAACTCCTAGAAAATGGCCCAATAAACTTTTAAGTCCAGTTCCCAAAGCCCTTGATAATGGACACAACTAGCCCCAGCTGTCCCTTTAATTCTGTCAGGCCAAGTCTGCTACGCTCTGCTTTGTGTAATAGGTTCATTGGATGGATGTCTTGGAGAGATATTTAAAGTCTCCTATGTTGTAGAATATTGTTTCAAGATGTGTTGCATTCAGTTAAGCTGTGGAACATTTGCTGTAATGATACAAAGATGTGTAGCCTTCTCTGTGAAGCCCTGTTACCTGGCCTGACTAAAACACCTGATTGGTCTTAATAAAGAGCTGAACGGCCAGTAGCAAGGTAGGAGAAAGGACAGGTGGGGCTGGCAGGCAGAGAGAATAAGTCGGAGGAGAACTCTAAGAGGAGAGGATTCAGCAACGAGAAAAGGAGGAGGCCATTAGGGGCCAGCCACCCAGTAAAGAAAGTATATACAATAGAGAAAGATAAAATCACAGACACAAAAGATAGATGGGATAATTTACGTTAAAAAAAAAAAAAAAGCTGGCTAGAAACAAACCAAGTGAAGGCTGGGTGTTCATAAGTAGGAATAAGACTCAGTGTGATTTATTTGGGAGCTGCGTGGTGGGCTCCAGAGGAGCCAAAAGAGCACAGAGTAAAAAGCAAGCAGCCACCCCCTGCTTAAAGACTGAAAGAGCAGAGTGAGGTGGCACAGCCCTGAGACCAGCCTCGGCTACATAGAGAGAGAGTTCTGGGCCAGTCTGAGCTCTGTAAGTTTGAAAGCAGTGTGCCACAGCTCCTACTCAAGTATTCAGGAAGAAGCAGAGTTAGAATTTCACAGGGTCTGGTTCTACCTGGGCCACAGTTTTTCTCTTTAGAGTCTCCGCAGGTTTCTGCGCCCTCCCTAAAGAAAGTATACTTGGTCTCTCTTAGTTTCCAAGACTCCATTACAGGTTTGTACCACGCGTCACACTGGGTACTTAATGGTTGTTGAGCTGAAATACTACTTCATGAAATAGTGCCCTGCCGTTCTGGTGGATTTACACTCACAGAGTTGGCTCTTGGAAGGCAGCCTGTGAACCACAGGTGCCTCACTGTGACCTGCTGGCTGGCTCGTCAGGTAGGGGCACTGGCAGCCTAGCCTGGTGATCTGAGTTCAATCCTCAGGACCCACATGGTGAGAGGAGAGAACGGACTCCCCAAAGTTGCTCTCCAACCTCCACATGTGCGTGGTGCATGCCCCCCAATAAAAAAATAAAATGTAAAGGTTCCTTTAAAGAGGCATTGAGTAAATGACTTGGTACTCAGCATGCTAACAGCTTAGTTCTAATCTTGTGTGACCTATGTTTTGTTGTAGGGAAACCGAAATGAGAAACAGTATCTTAGCCCAAGTTCTGGATCAGTCAGCCCGGGCCAGGTGTAAGCATCTTCAATTTCCTTTACTCCCATTAAATTGGCTTGTTGTAGTTGGATGGGTGGATGCATGTGTGTGGTTATTGCTCTCATCGGAGCAAATGTTTAAAGTACTTGGAATACATTGTGAGAAGTATGAAGTTTATAAATCTGGAAAGGGGTTGTTATTACTATTGAAGCAGGTCCTTCCTTAGGAAGATGTACCTTGAGGACATTTTCAGTAGAGTTTATAAGCATTGATCCTTCAGTCACAGAGTTGTGGGGAGCTAGGGATTGATTGTGTTCTGGGTTTTAGTGCTGTGTCTGGAGTTGTCATAGTAAAATCTAGAAAACAAACTGTAGAAAGGAAAGAATGAGTCAGGGAACTAGCATCTTTCTGTTAGGAATGGAGTCCCGCCTGTAGACAGATGGCCCCTCACTTAGAGGTCAGAAGCAGGAAAACTGAGTTTAGAACCTGAGAACTCGAGTTTAACCTTGGGCCTCCCACCACACTGAGTGACAAGTGACAAGCCAAGCTGTCTGCCCTAACTACCTTTTGCCTGTTGGCAGACATGAACTTGAGAAGTACTTTGGAAGGGTCAGGGTATATTTAGTGCATTTAGTCTTCATGCTTTTTTTTTTTTTTTTTTTTTTCAGTAAGTAACTTAGCACTTGTGAAGCCTGAAAAAACAAAAGCAGTGGAGAACTACCTTATACAGATGGCGCGGTACGGACAGCTAAGCGGGAAGGTAAGCCCAGACTGCCCGCAGGAGCGTGGTGTTACCTCCAGTCTGAAAACCCTGGCTTTGCAGCCGATGGCTCTCTAGCGGAAGACTGGAGCTTGTTCTCAGGCTCACACCAGGCGCCTCATAGCTACTGTAACTCCAGCTCCAGCAGATCAGGGCCCTGTCTGACTTCCACACAAGCTCATGGTGTATAGAGATAGATACATTGAAGCAAACTGCTCCTGCTTTTTAAAACTTAAAGAGAAGTCAGCTGTACCAAGTCATTTCCAGATTTGAATATAGAGTTCTTGCTGACTACAAGTTTTAAAGGAGAGAATAATCACCCCTACTGTAATCTTGAGTGATGATTGCCTGTCCTAAAATGCTCAGCTGTCTCCTTTCCTGGTATTGTGTGGAATTTTGTTTGTGTTAGTGTGACCCAGTGACTATTAAGAGTCATCAGGCTTAAATTGTTCCTGCAGTAGAAACAGGGTTTGCCAATATCAATTAAAACACCACCACTGTTTGCAGAAACAAGGGTTATTTTGCACTTGGGAGGGGAGGTTGAAGTCCTGAGTGTGTGTGTCAGCGTGTATGTGTCTGGCTGGATTGCCATGAGGGTTATATTTGGGAAATCCAATCTTCAAGCTTCAGTGGCCACAGAAGACCGGCCTGCACTGGGAGCCGGAAAGAACCAGCTTTTCTGAGGATGTTGGTCTTTTCTGGGGATGTTGTCTCTCGGGTGGTATGGGTAGAGGGTGTCTATCAGTGCCTGTGGCCTTTCACACAGTGACAAAGGTGGTCTCAGACCTGCTGGCTTTCCTGAGGAACTGCCCCCCTACTTTCCTTCTGATGTATTCCTGCACCTTGGAGAGACTTTACCAAGATTGCTTAGACTTGCTGATCGTTTTGAAACACTGTTTCTCTTTGTGGTTACAGGTGTCTGAACAAGGTTTAATAGAAATACTTGAGAAAGTCAGCCAACAGACAGAAAAGAAAACAACAGTTAAAGTAAGTGCCCCCTGCATGGCAGAAGGCAAGTTTGTATCAGGCGTTCAGCGTGCATGTGCGCCCGCCGCCCGCCGAGCAGTCAGAGTGCCTTGGAGCTTTACACAGAATCTGCAGTGTGGTTGGGAAGAGTCTGGCTATGTGGAGAGTGTAAATGTTAAGATTCTTACCTCTCAAATTACCCCTCTCCACTTAGTAAGTCGTTTCAAAGACACACACAAAAAAGCCTCACTTGAGTAATTGAAGATGTTTTTCTCAGAAAATCTGAGGCTTTATACAGTGTCTGACGTTCCTTTAATTTCCCCGTAGTTCAACAGAAGAAAAGTGATGGACTCCGATGAAGATGACGATTACTAAGAGGAGATGCTTAAACAGACTTTCGGAGCAGTGTCTAGGGCAATTACAACCTTTCAATGTTTACTTTGTTTATTATCTATATGTGTCTTTTAAAAAAATAAACTTGTTACTCAAACTAAAGCAGTTTGGGTGTTTCAGAACCACAGGCAACTCACAAGAAGATACTGTTTTGGGTGATCGTTTGCTTCCTCCCGAAAGCTTTCAAATGGTGACAGTCAGTGCAAGTTATCCATTGCAACTGGACATTAACATGAGGCGGAGGACTAGAAGCTGTGCCAGCAGGCCTCAGCGCCAGAGACATCGAGGGAACGAAAACCCTGGGCAACCGAGTCAGCTTTCAGATCTGAGCACATCCAGCATTCTTCAGGCAGAACTTGCAAAAGCAAGGACATGTCCTTTCCCTGCAGATAGCATTTCAAATTCCCAGCTTTTGATTTAATTACTTTTCAGAAGCCTTGAGTTTCCATTATACAACAAATACCACTCTGATCCAAAACAACTGGAGTGTTACTTTCTCAAAGTAACTAGGACATCCTTCAGGAACTGTTGAACAGAGACGTTTACAAGAGGAGTAGGCTGGACTGATGGTTGACTACCAACGAGCACAGGACACAAGTTCTCTATCAGCACCGCGTTGGGCAGCTGACGACAGCCTGTACCTCCAGCTCCAGGGGATCAGACACCCCCTGGCCCTAGAAGCCTCCGCATGGAATCCTTACAAGCACACACATATACCTGATAAAAATAAATTCTAAAAAATGCAAATAACTGAATTGTCAGTTTGTGTTCAGGATTGCACCGTCAGAGTTGGAATCTGCTGAAGGGTTTTGTAGGTGGTTTTGTGGAATATATATTGGGTTTGCTGTCACTCTTCTGTCTAAAGCTGGTCTCAACTCTGCCTTTAGCCGAGGATGGCCTCAGGCTCATGATCTTCCTGCTTCCACAACTGTAGTGCTGACAGGACATACGTGTACCACCACACCTGGTCTGTGTGGTGCTGGGACTTGGACACAGAACTTCACGAGTGCTAAATGAACAATGCTAACTGAGGCACAGCCTTAAATTTGCTTTGTGACTCATGAAATGCTTGAAAAATAACCAACATGTATCTGCAAATTTTGTTACATGTTTCATTAAAGTCACCAGTCCTAATGGCTGAGGTGTATTGGACACTTGGGAAGGCAGCTATTTGTACAAGGATGGGGTCCTGAAAACAGCTAGCATGCTACCTGTGATTAGCTTGCAGGCACGGAGCTGCAAGTACTTGGAATTAGCAATTTTTATTAAAGTGGGGACAGCAACTGTAAAAACACGTGGTACACACTGCTCCACTCCTCCCGGCAGTGGTCAGCAAGAGGGGAGCCTGTGCCCGGAAGAGTCAGCACTAGCAAGCTGGAGCACTCCACTCGGATCCCTGTGTCTGCCTCTTTAGAATGATAAACCTTGAGGTCATGGAGCCAGAGCAGCACAACAATAAAGTGGTTTTGTTAAGAGTGAAATAGGAAGGACTGGAGAGATGGCTCAGCTGTTAACAGAGCACTGGCCATTCTTCAGAGGGCCTATTCCCAGCACCCACAGGGTACCTCACAACCACCTATAACTCCAGTCGCAGGGGACCTGATGCCTTCTTTCCTATTGGGCATGAGATGCATCGAGAAGCATCTTCATTGGGTGGGAAGAAGAACCAGCAAACGGACAGAGAGCTCATGTTCTCATTCTGTTTCCTGTGCTGGTGCAGGGCTGTCATCCCAGCTCCTTGGAAAACTGGGGTAGTGGAAACAAAGGTCCAAGGCCAGCCTGGGCAACTTAAAAGTACCACCAGAAGTGTCTTTGTGGGCACTCCTGAGAACTGTGTATGCCATTGACCCTGAGCAGGTAGTTGTGATGGGCGGTGGTCTGCTCTGAGTGTGATCTAGATGTGTGTCCCGTCACCCTAAATACACTGCACCCGTCGCATAAGGACGCTTTCCACACATCACGGTGTTGTGTGGGACCGTCCCGAGCCAGGCCACCCCACCACCACCTTCATCCCATCACAAAAGGTCATTGCAGCTGGGTATGCTGAGGGGTGGGTGGGGGGACAGTCA